AAACATACCAAGTTAGATATACCAAAAACTACACTGTGAAGATATACCAAAAACAATAAACATAAAGAGTAGTAGTTTATTCTTGAAACTAAAATTTGCAACACTGTTTTGTCTTTTGGTTGAAATGAAAATCGCAACGAGAGAATGACTATCGCAATGCGGAAATGACTATCGCAACGAGAGAATCGCAACGCGAAATTAAAATCGCAACGAGAGAATCGCAACGCAAAATGAAAATCGCAATTCTCGTTGCGATTTTCATTTCTCTCGTTGCGATAGTCATTTTCGTGTTGCGATTTTCATTTTCATGTTGCGATTTTAAGTTTAGAAACTATTCTTCTTCTGCAAATTGAAACTTTAATGGATTGCATTACTTCAACCAAAAGATAAAACAAAGACAAATACTAACTTCACAGGGTTAAAGACTAAACAGTTTAGCAGTATTGGCAGCAATCGAATGAATTTAATAAGAAATCTAAGTGAAATGGTTAATCTATTATTGAAATTACCAGTAAACTTATCATCAATTTCAATATGAAAAACCTAAAATAATGCAAAAATTTCAAAATAAAAATAATTAAAAAAAACTAAACCTCGGAGGTTGATTTTCCATTTCTGAATGATTGTGAGGGATTTCTGACCGTGAATGGTTGTGAGGGATCTCGCCGGAGATGGGGATGGAAATCTTCGGAGATGGGGATGGATTTCGCCGTAGAGAGTGAGAGATGGAGATGAGACTGAGTTGTGATTTTAGGTTTTAGGTTATGAGTTGCGATTACGGGATATACTGTGGACGGTTCAGTGTTCCGATAATTAATATTCGTGTTTGGAATTTGAAAATAAAATACGCGTAGCGATTCTAATGGCGCTTTAAAAATCGCGTTGCGATTTTACGTATTGTCGTTGCGATTTACGGATACGCATTGTGATTTACGTATTCTCGTTGCGATTTAAAGATACGCGTTGCGATTTACGTATTCTCGTTGCGATTTACGGATACGCGTTGCGATTTTACGTATTCTCGTTGCGGTTTACGGATACGCGTTACGATTTTACGGATACTCGTTGCGATAGTCAGAATCGCGTTGCGATTTATATGTTCGCGTTGCGATTTTCATATTCGCGTTGCGATTCTGGAAAATCGCAATGCGAATTTGTACTATCGCATTGCGATTCTGGGAACTGATTTGCGATTCTGGAGATCGCGTTGCGATTTTTATTTCGCATTGCGATTTTGTTGGTCATTTTGGCAAATCCAAAAAAAGTTGGTTAAAATCGTATATTATAAGGCATTTTTGGTCACTGAGGCGATTTTCTCTTCGTACAATATTTATTAGAGCGAGATATGTAATAATTTTGATAGATTTTCAATTAATTGAAATTTTTTAATTGAAACAATAAAATCAAAAATCAAAATATTTTTGAAATTTTACATCTATGTATATTAAAAAATAGAATTCATTAGATAAATTTAGTGTAAATGAAATATTATTTTTTTAAAAAAATTGAATTTGAATAATTGTGTTTGCACAATATGTATACATTACTATAGGTTAAGAGAAAATCTAAATAGATAACATCTAAATAGATAACATCTTGTAAAAAATAGTGAGAATTAAACTTAAACTTGAAAATATAGTAATTATATATTAAAATTTTGATTAATCAACTAATTAATCAAAATTTTATGTTACATTGATATTTTTGGTAATTTATATTTTACTTTAAAATTATTTTTGTATGGATGAAAATCATGTTAGAAATTAAAGTATGCTTAAATATATAAATAATTATTAAATTATGTTGAAATAAATTTTTATTATTGAAATTTAATAAATTATAAAATTATCATTAGATTCTTAACGTTATAAGATAACCATTAAATTTTATTAAATTGTGATAAAATGGTCATTAAATTTAGGATATAGTACACAAATGGTTCATCGACTATAGGGTATTATTTTTATTAAGTCCGTTGACTATTAAAGTTACAAAATGGTTCTCCGACTATAGAGTGTTGCTTTGTTGAGTTTCTCGATTAATAAAGGTTATAAAATGGTCACTCGACTATTCATATATTCCAAACTCGTCTTTTTTCTGTTTAAAAAATTGACGACAATCTGAGTTGAACATTAATGTATTAACTGTAATATGATAAAATATAATTCTAAATCTCAAACGACTATCATATGTCACTCATCATGTTAAGTCCAATTTAGATAACCGCTAATTTTTTAACAGGAAAAGACGAGTTTGAAACATAATAAATAGTCGAATAACCATTTTGTAACTTTTAATAATCAAGAAACTCAACAAAGCAACACTCTATAGTCAGAGGATCATATACATTATTATAGGTTAAGAAAAATCTAAATAGATAATATCTTGTAAAAATTAATTAGTTGAGATTTAAACTTAAAATTAAAAATATATTAATTATATATTTAAATTTTGATTAATCAACTAGTTTTATGTTACATTGATATTTTTGGTAGTTTATATTTTATTTTAAAAATTATTTTTGTATAGATAAAAATCATTTTAGAAATTAAAAGTATGTTTGAATTCCATCTATTTCTTGTCAAAACTTATTTCCTCAGGCTCTCCTTTTCTCTCAACCTAATTTTCTTTTAATATTTGTATACCGTCTTTTTCTTTCTTTTTTATCTTTTTTTAACCGACAACAACACCAATTTTAATGTTGATTGCCGACCGCTAGAGAATATTAATTCTCTTATTTTTTATTTTATTTATTTTATGTTTTTTTTTCTTGAATCTTTTTAATTTTAAATATGAATCTCTGTCATTGTGATATGATTTTTCTCTATTTCTTGTGACACATGTTTCCTCTGTTCTTGTGGCACAATCCTCATGGTTTTCGGTATATCTTTTCGCTTACTTTTGTTGTCGTTTTGGTTCTCGCACAAAAACTATCACAACATTTATTTTCTAATTGGTTAGTCGGTGGTAACGTATATTCAGATCCCCTCTTTTTTTACTGATGTAATCAGAATTGTATAGCAAAGTAGCCTGTCAGATTATTTGGTTCGCTCTCCACTCCTTTTTCACTTCGTCAAGCGTCTCATTCGACAGAAACAATGAGTTTGTATGAAGGTTATTAGGTTTTGATATTGGTCATCATTATCAATTGAAGCTTTTGATTTTCTTCATATTTTTAGGTTTATTTTTTACTTTTGTACGAGTATTTTGGTGACTATTATCTCTAAATTTATCTCTTTTTTTCTAATGCATTGCAATTTAATTCATTCCCTTACTAATAAAATTCATTGTCATTGTTAAAAAAATATGCTTAAATAGATAAATAATTATTAAATTATGTTGAAATTAATTTTTATTATTTAAATTTAATAAATTATAAAATTATCATTAGATTCTTAATCTGTTATAAGATAATCATTAAATTTTATTAAATTATAATAAAATTATCATTAAATTTAGGGTAAAGTACACAAAGAGTCCCTCGACTATAGGGTATTACTTTATTAAGTCCCTCAACTATTAAAAGTTCTAAAACGGTCTTTTGACTATAGATTGTTGCTTTGTTGAGTCCATCGACTATTAAAAGTTGCAAAATGGTCACTCGTCTATTCATATGTGCCAAACTTGTCCTTTTCTATTAAAAAATTGACATCATTTTGAATTGAACGTTAATCTACTGACTGATATGAAAAATTATGTCCCCCCAAATCTCAAACGACTATCATATCCCACTCACTATGTTAACTTCCAACTTAGACAACTGCCAATTTTTTAACAGGAAAGGATGAATGTGAATTATAATTATTAGTCAAGTGATCATTTTGTAACTTTTAATAGTCGATGAATTTAATAAAATAGTGCCCCATAGTCAGGAGACCATTTTAGTACTTTACCCTTTAAATTTATTGAATTGTTAAGAAGTTATTTTTAAACTTATCGAGATTTATAATTATTTTATAACATGCAATGATTATTTTATAATAGTTAAATTAATTTAACGATTATTTTATAATTTTAAAATAGTTTAGTAACTATTTGTACAATTTACCCTAAAATTACTATCTATTGATTTTCAATTGAGCAAGCTCCATGTTTTGTCACCTACCTTTTACGTAGTTTATGTTTTGGTCATCTAATTATTATGTTTTTAAAAATCATATATATATATATATATTGATATACAAAAGTTTAGGTGGCTCCCCAGTCCAGGCCAGGGCATACCTAAGACTCAATTGGGATTTACATAAGACTTTACAGATTACCCACCAAGAGTGACGGTGGTGGGATTCAAACTTGGCCTTACAAGCTCAAATTCTTAAATCTCAACCACTTGTGCCAACACTCATTGACTTTTAAAAATCATATATAATATTATATTTTAGTTATTAAAAATAATGATAATACTGACATGTTATCATAAGATAATATCAAGTCAATACTAAAAATAATTAAAAATATCATGTTAGCAATAATGTTAATTTTTTTAATGACGAGTAATCAAAACACTATCAAAACATAATATTATGTATAGGGGCGGACCCAGGACAAAAAATTCAGGGGTTACACAAAAAAATTCTTATAAATTTTTTTAGGGGTTGCACATTATTAAAGGTGGAACTTGTATTAATTAAAAAAAAATTAGAAAATATTAACACTAAGTAGACAATTTTGTTGTATATTTTTTTTCTATAAGAATTTAACTGAAATATAAGGATTCTATCTAAAAATCATAAAAAATATATATAAAAATATTAAAATAATAACATTTGGTCAATGTTCCTCACAATTTGAGGGGTTGCCCGTGCTACCCCTGGCAACCCCCTGGGTCCGCCCCTGATTATGTATGATTTAAAAAAATAATAATTCACTAACCATAACAAAAATAAATAAATAATAGATAGAAAGATGACCAAATTAGTAGTTTACCCTTCAAATTTTTACTAGCCGATGGCGGAGGGCCAAGAAAAGGTCCAACTATTGGTAAGTAACTGTAAAAACTAACTAATGAGATGGGAGGTAAGTTTTGTTTGCTTTAGAAATTAGTAACACAAAATCGGGAGAAATCGTGTAGCTACTTGGGCTCATTATCTGGAAACTTCCACACTCTTCCCCTCATTTTCATTTGCCTTCCAGACCTCTCTTCTTTTTCCCCTCAAAATCAGCCCTAAACTCCTCCAAACACCGACTCTTTCTTGTATGTGATCAAACGTTCTTTCATTTTTTTTACAAAATAAATTGCGGCAAAACTAGAGCAAAGAAGAAGGAAGATCTGTGAAAAAAAGTAAAAGGTAGAGAAAGAAGAAGAAGAAGAAGAAGATGGGTGTTGATTATTATAAGATTCTGCAAGTTGACAAGAATGCAAAAGATGAGGATTTGAAGAAGGCTTACAGGAAGCTTGCCATGAAGTGGCACCCTGATAAGAACCCTAGTAACAAAAAGGAAGCTGAGGCCAAATTCAAGCAAATCTCTGAAGCATATGAGGTTTGCTTCTCTCTTTACCCCCCCCCCTTCTTTTTTTAATTATGTCGATTCTCGTAACTCAAACCAAAAATTGAGTTGCTTTATTTATAATCAGGATGATCATCAATCAAGTTTGGTTCTTTCTCTTTGGTTACTGAGGCTCTGTACCAAAAGCACATAGGATATACTCAATTCAAATTATAAGAATGCCCAACAATTCAAATTTTGATCTTTACATGTATAGAAGTCTAAATCTATGGGAGAAAAAATGACCAACCTTTATGTTTGCAGGTTCTGAGTGACCCACAGAAGAGAGCTATATATGATCAGTATGGTGAAGAAGGCTTAAAAGGCCAAGTACCACCTCCAGATGCGGGTGGACCTGGTGGAGCAACATTTTTCCAAACCGGAGACGGTCCAAATGTGTTCAGATTCAACCCCAGAAATGCTAATGATATCTTTGCCGAGTTTTTTGGGTCTTCTAGCCCCTTTGGGGGGATGGGCGGCAGTGGGATGAGAGGTAGGTCAAGAGCATTTGGTAGCAGCATGTTTGGTGATGACATATTCAGTTCATTTGGTGAAGGAAGGTCAATGAGTCAGAATCCTCGTAAAGCTCCTCCTATCGAAAATACGTTGCCTTGTAGCCTTGAAGATTTATATAAAGGAACCACAAAGAAGATGAAAATTTCTAGAGAAATTGCAGATGCAAGCGGGTATGTCTCCATTTTATACTTCTGCTTTTATCTTTTTTCGTGGTCTTCTCATTAGTTTACGGCTGAATGTTCATTGATTTTGGTTCATGTCCTTCTAAAGCAATACGAAGTATCTATTTACAGAACCATATATATTTTCAGTAACTATTGGTAACTTCAATGATGTATTGAAATGTAGTTACTCTTAATTTATCTGGTTTAGTCTATAATTAAGCAGTAAAATGGAGCTGAAAGAGTTTGACCTGATCATTTGGTATGTGATAATGAATCCATTTTCAACCATGCCAGTAGTACTCGGTTACTTAGACCATACAAGACGGAGGAATGATCTAAACATGCTTAATAATGCCAACTACTACCTTCATGGGTGCTGATGTTTGCTAATTGTTGCAGGAAGACATTGCCGGTGCAGGAAATCCTGACGATTGATATCAAGCCTGGTTGGAAAAAGGGAACAAAGATTACCTTCCCTGAGAAAGGAAATGAACAACCGAATACAATACCTGCAGATCTTGTATTCATAATTGATGAAAAACCTCATACTACATTCACACGCGACGGCAATGACCTGGTTGTCAACCAAAAGATATCATTGGCTGAAGCATTGACCGGCTACACTGTTCACCTTACAACACTTGATGGAAGAAGCTTGGTCATCCCCATCACCACCGTTATTCATCCAAACTATGAGGAGGTTGTTCCAAATGAAGGCATGCCGATTCCAAAAGACCCCTCGAAAAGAGGTAACCTGAGAATCAAGTTCAATATTAAATTCCCAACCAGGTTAACTGCCGAGCAGAAATCTGGAATCAAGAAGTTATTGGGGCCGTCGGGTGGACTCTGATGATCATCATTTCGGAAAAAGAAATCAGTGGAAACTTGTGAATATCTGCTTCTGATCATTCCACCACTACTTATGATACGTAATTTGTAATATTTACCATTAGTTTGTGATTTCTGAAGTAATGCATTTTGTGATTCAAAAGAATAAAGCATTTGGTCAATTTTGTATTGCTGAAAAGAGAAATCAAAGTGTTCATGACCTATGTTATCGATAATGTTGTCTACTATGGATTTTAATCATGCAGCGTATTAGAATAAAGAAATCTGTTAAAAGTCCTTCCCCCATGGACCATATAAATAATGTTCCTGTACTTGCAAAATCGAAAGTTTCAGCAGGCCTGTGATGGTGGAAGAGCATGAGAATATCGCAACTCCATCCCTACTGAGAGGGAGAACAAATGTGGTTATGGTAGGTAGGATGAGATCTTGATGGAGGGAGTAAACATATTTATCCATTTGATAATACATCACACATTAAAAAGAAGTTAGCATCTCATTGCATTTTCTTTAAAACAGTACAAATGGTTAATCTTTCAATGTGTGGTTTCGTTTTATTCGTTGTCAATATATAATTATGGTCATAACTATTTTAAAGATAATAAATAAATAGTCATCACTATGGAACTGCTTGAAGAGATGAAAAACAACGATATGGAGCCAAATGTGTTTACTTGCAATTCCTTAATGGATGGCGGATGGGCGTTCTTCAGAAGCCATGGAACTATTGGAGACAACGGTTAGCAAACGTTGTGAACCCAAACATGATAACTTATAGTACCTTATTACATGAACTACGTTAAAAGGAATGGCTTCAACAAGCTGTAGAGATTCATGAAAGCATGAAACTTCATCATCTCCAACCAGATGCAGGGTTGTATGTGTTGTGGTTCATCATGATTCCAAAGAGACAAGTCTGCTCGGAACTTTCCCATTTGCCAATTAGTTTGTTTTAATATTATTTTCAGATGATGCATTAGCCTCTCGCTCTCTGTGTGCACAAAAAAGGGAGATTAAGATTGAATAATAGAGCCATGTCTTGTACTTGATAACTTTCTGATGATTATTGGTGAATGTGTGAGGTCTTCTAGCATCCACCCATAAAGCCCAACTAGAAGTTTTACAAAATTATCTATTTGTAGTTGAAATGATCCTAAGAAAGACCAATTAAATAGCATTTGACATATTAGGCTGCATTAGAGACCGAAAAGTTATGTTCGAGCCCAATATACCTTGGCTAAGAATTAAGATTCCCTTAATTTCAAAAAAAGAAAAAGAAAATATCCCCTTCTTTTGGTGAGGACAGAAGCACCAAAAGAGCACACAGATCATCATCATTATAATTATTATCACTAAGCAAGTAGATGAACGCCATACAAGTAATTAGTAGGTAAGGTTTGTTCGATTAGGCTATTAGGTCAGGTTTAGATGATGCGCTCAAGATTGACTACAAATTTATTAAGTTTATCCAACTCCTAGTTTGGAACAAACTTTTCAACGTCTTTAATCGTTTAATTTAATGGTAAAAAGAAAGATCCTTGAAACTTCAAAATTACAGCTTTAGATTTCAGAGGATACGGTATTAGTCAAGATTAAGTAGACAAGGGTATTAGTTTATTCATTTATTTATCCAATCTTGATTATTACAACTTTGTTTGTACTAGTTAAAAAAAATGTAGTGGACTACCAGATGTTTGTCTTTGGTTTTTGCACTAAATGTAGTCCACAATAAGCCATGCCTTGGGTTCCTTATAATATTGATACTTGTTATATAATACATATAAACTTATAAATTTGATCATGGTAAGAAGAGTTTGATCAACAACCTTATATAAAGTTAAACGCAACACAATTCGTGACCAGACTATCGAGTTGTATCATGATTGGTTCGACACGTAGTGTGGGTGTTGAACTTAATCCTATGAGGGATGAGAGGGAAAGGTGCAAACTTGTTCACTTTAGTGAGTTATTTTAAAGAATAAAACCCTAAATAATTTGGTAAAAAAATACCAGCAATTTTGGGTGTATAACTGGATATCTACAATGTTGCTATCACAAGCTTTAAAAAAACGTGATTAATTTTTTTTTAGCTCTTCCAGTACTATATGTAATTGAAAATGATTGACAGTGAAATGTACAATGTAAGGCTGAATACTGATGTATACCTGGAAAATTATATTACGTTGTGATGGAGAAAAAAAAATTCACATATAAATTATTATATATTTTATTTGAGATTTATGATTTAGATTTAATATTTAAAATTTATAGATTAAAAGTTAAGATTTATAATCATTTAAAAATATTAAATGACATTTAAATAGATATTATTATAAAAACATATTTTTACTGTTGGTATGTGAAATGATAACAATATATATATATATATATTGATTTTTAAAAAAAAAAAAAATGTTGGCCGAGAAGCTAATTAGTCCCAACAATTTTGTTTACAAATTGTTAAAATATCATTCATATTTTAATGTTTATTTATCCATTCCCAGCCAAAGTTATTGAATACTTTTAAGAAGGGGAATCCTCGAGAGATTAAAATGCAGAATCTGGTCCAAAATGGTTAGGTAGCTGTCTGCAAGCCTTTTTCTTTCTAGCAAAAGCTTGGAAGTTGCATATAATGTTTTATAATCAGGGAATTCGGGATTAATTAGTCTAATCATTACTACCATTAAATCAATAAAAGCTTTTCTCTTTTGGTGCGGGCCATTTGGTAATCATTCTTATCTTTAGTTTAGCTCTAATTTTGAGATTATAGTTACCATTAACTTAGCAACCTCCAGGCCACACTTGCCACCTCAAATATACTTTGCTTATGATGTGATCATTTGGCTCTTTTGATAACATGATGAGCTGAAGATGCCATGCACGCCTACTTCACATGAGCATGCCAGTAAGAAAACCTCGGGGTTTCACCTCATATCCTAATTTTCCTTTTGGTAGATAATGTTAAGTTTTATTTTATTTTATCACAAAGTTATATTTAAACTATAACGATAAGAGTTACAGATATTGAGATTTGAACTTTAAAATTACTAGATTTTAATTTCCGAGATGACTGGAATTCATATTTATAAAAGAAATTTGATTCTTATTCTTTATATTTTGGTTTGTAGCTAGGGGGGTTAAACATCATGATTCCCAACAATGGCTGTTGCTTCTAATTATGTGATCAAGATGCACAAATAATAACGCAATCAAAATGGTCCCTACATTCTAACTTCTGTTTCCATCTAAATTTCATGAAGAAAAAAAAAAGCCACTTGAGAAGACATTAATGTCTAATCCTGTGTTGTTGTTTTCGCTAATGCATGATTATTGCTTCATTAAGAAAAAAATTAAAGCAAAAACAAGTTTGTGGTTATAACTGAAATATTCTGTCTATTTGTAACACACAAGGTTTTGCTTCACAATTAAGTCAACCATGAGAGAGATGAGGGAAAGCTTAAAAGGCTTCAGTAGTTAGTCTTTTTATGCCGAACTTTCTTAAGTTGACCCTGTTTGCAAACAACTAAGTGTGCATCTAATAATTGAAAGCATGAACCTTTTTTCCTTGAAATGGGATTCCGTCTCTGGTTTCTGCAATTTTCTGGTACCAAATTGATTAGCTGCCTCAACTTTTCCCCTCAAATTCTGGTGATCTACTTGTTAAAAGACTCGATGATGACAAAGGTGTTGGGAAATAAACCGAGTACGAGTAATTTCCATATAATCAGATTAGTGAGAATACGAAATAAAAGCGGAAAAATAATATCCGAAATTGATAACGGAGTTCAGCCAATTGTGCTTACGTCTCCGAATTGCTACAGATCTTTTACTAAGAGAGAAAATTTACAGGTGTTTACAAAACACTCACTACTCACAAGAAACTCTCTAGTATTGAGAGAAAGAAATGATTTTGGGATGATTTTGAAGCTAAATAAGCTAGGGTATTTATAGTTGAAGTTTAAGGACTAATATTATAAATACCCTAAAGTGTGCAGTGGCTAAAATATAATTAACCTATTTTTAATTTTAATAAAATATTGGGGCACCGAATTCGATGCCCCCCTTTGTTAAAAAACCCATGCACATGTGCCCCCCATTTCTTCTGTCAGCAAAACCCACCGAAAAAATGCCCACTAATTTTGACTATTTTCCAACAATCTTCCACTTGAAGACTGATTTTAATTTGTCTTCACACCTCGATCAATGCAGCAGCATTTCTAGTCTTGTTATTCTAGCATGCCAACTGAAGCAGAACACAACTTCAGTTTGTCTGTGGCCACCGTCTTTGTCAACATGTCTACTGGATTTTGAAGCTCTGGATTTTGAGCTCCACTAATCTTTTCAAGCTTCAAAATCCCATCTTCCAGAAGAGATCGGATAAAATGATATCTCAATTGTATGTGCTTCGTCCTGGAATGAAAAGACGGATTCTTTGCTAGATGAATAACACTTTGACTGTCGCAATACAAGACATTGTTTTATTGTTTCTTGCCTAACTCTTCCAAGAAACTTTGGAGCCAAACCATCTCCTTGCTGGCTTCCATAACAGCGACATATTCTGCTTCAGTTGTGGAGAGAGCAACTATCTTCTGTAGTTGAGAAACCCAACTCAGTACAGTACCTCCTAGAGTATAGACATACCCAATAGTGCTCCTTCTGATGTCAACATTTCCAGCTAAGTCAACATCTACATAGCCTGTCAGTATCGTATCTCCACTTTTGAAACAAAGTGCTTTGTTTGTAGTACCCCACAGATATCTAAGGATCCATTTGACAGCTTCCCAGTGTACTTTGCCCGGATTATTCATATACCTACTAATAGCTCCCACTGCTTGAGAAATATCTGGTATGGTACAAACCATGGCATACATCAGATTTCCAATTGTTGAGGCATATGACACCTTCACTATGTGTGCACGTTCTTCCTCCATCTTTGGTGATTGTTCTTTGAAGAGTCTTAAATGAACACCTAAATGTGTACTTACTGGTTTAGCATCTTGCATGTTGAATCTCGAGAGTACTTTGTTGATGTACTCAGCCTGTGATAACATCAAAGTCCCCGAATTTGTGTCTCTCTTAATCCTCATCCCAAGAATTTGCTTTGCAACTCCCAGATCCTTCATAGCAAACTGTTTTGACAATTTTTGCATCAAGTGTATAATCTCTTGCATGTCTGAGCCTGCAACG